CACATACATCTACAAATTCGAGATAAATGCTTATGCGCTAATATTAAATTTATATCAATTAATATACCGATTATTCCCCTATGAGAAATACGTCTTCAATTTATCTTTTCGAAATATTAAATCCGAAACATCAAAATTTAAATATGATTATAATCAATTTGATTATTGTCCTGTTTTTTGTAGCTAACTAGTATACATCCATTATAAAATGAAACAGATACATATTTGAAGTTTAACAAAAGTGAGATAGAAAGTTTTAGTGCACCCCAGTGCAGGAATAGAAAATAAATCTCATAATTGCAGTGACCAGATCGTATGATCGTATGATTCATTGTCATTAATCTCTCACTGCAATCTAAGATGCAAACAAAAATTATAAGTCTATCGTAAGGGGAGAGTGACGAAGTATAAACAAAACTTCCAGGAAGTCGGCATTGAGATGGTGCATATAAGAGACTTTCACATTTTAAAACGACTTTTTACATCTTCGATCGTAAAAAAACTCCTCTATATTTCGTCTCGTCGTCGTGAATTTTCTGAAAGTGACCTGTGAAAAATACGGCAGAGATACGTTCCGAAAGTCATATGTCGTCTGGAAAAGCGCGTGCATTCCTTTAGCCTGCTCTATCAACAACTTTACTGGTTCTCGTTCCTAAATATTTTTTTTTCTCAAGGATACAGCGAGTCCAGTTCGAGTCGCTTTTATTCTCTCCTCCCACCTACATACGTTGCTGGGATCCTCGGGATGTAGAGTGTTCTACGGGGATTTCCCCTCAGTCTTCCAGTAACCGTGAGGCGATGATCGTACGTACGACGAGTTACGCAGCTCAGTTGAAGCGCAGCTTAGTCTGATTCCAACTGCCTATCGGTTTATACATTCGACGTGCACAATCCTTCCAGGGAGCGAAATCATGGGGGATACGAAACCCAAAATTGTACCAGCTCATACTGAATGCGCCACGACAGGTCAGTATATCTAATTGTTACAGCTCTAGCATAGATCTTTATTTGAAAAAAGTTTTTAGCAAAGTTGACAGAGCAGAGATGAAAAATGAAATCCTTTCGTACGTTCGTACGTGCGTATGTATAATTTTGTCGTGCCTTATCTGCTACAAGTGCAAAAATCCGCGGAAAAATCTGAGGATATTTCAGATAATCTTTGACTACTATAGCCCAGCTGAATAAGTTTACGAATTTTAAAAGAGGGAGAATTTTTTTGTAAAGCATCAACATAAGCCTCTCTCACGATGTGCAGTTGCGTCATGTTTTAGACGACATTCATAGTCAATATATATGTATTCTATGACGTCATCGTAATTGTCCATACTCGTAGCTGAAATTCGAAAAGTTTCTTCATATTTTAGCATCGTGCAATTCTTCATCGCAAAAGTATCGATTTAATTACCTCTTGATTTATTTGATTTAATATCAAATAATGTTTAAATAATGGAACAATTAAATAAAACGAATTGATCGCTCACGTTTTGATTTGAAAATTTATTAATATAATACAGACATTTCCTTATGAGAGTGCAACACTCGGTTTTTTTCAGTCGTCAAACTGTTAGCAATGCAGTATCAGCAATTGTTTATAAATGCATGATAAACGTTCAATCTTTCATTCATTGAATACGTTTCGTCGAAACGGGATAGGAGATAATTCTAAAAATAACATTCATATGCAATAAGGAAAGCGAGAATTATTGTTTAGATAGTCACGAATTGCGTCTCTCATTGTTTATTTCTATCAATGTAGATTAGCTTTAATCTCTGCTTTTATTTCCTTTTTATCCTTTTCTAATTCTCAGAACTAATTTTAGATTCTCAGAATCTAAAAAAAAAAAGATAAAAAATGTATTAAATCGAAATTAAAGTTAATCTGCATTGATACAAATGGACATCAGTATCGCAGAAGATCAACATTAATTTTAAGATAATATTTTTAATAATGATATCTAATTTCGCGTATTCGAATATTTTCATAGTTGATAAATCTATAAGTAATAATATCACGATTGTTATAGTGCTGTGGTAATTTTACTGTGAATTCAGCGGCTGTCGAGTAACATCAATCGCTATTGAAATGACAACACTCTCAGTCGGTGACGTATCAAAAACGCACCGCTTTACGCGCCTTAATTTCCTTTATCTGCTTCCATACACAGCTAGCATAGATAGCACTGTTTTTTCAGTTAAACTAATCAATCAACACTGTTTTATTTCGTCCTTGTAAATAAACGGAATTTTTGCAACAAATTATAGGCATATACATATACTCATTTTTTTCATAATTATTTCGAATTCTGCAGCAAATTATTAATAATTGTAATTTATACGTTTTAATTGTGTAACATTAAAATTAACATATTAATTTTAATAATGCTTCTAAGGCTTCCACGGTTACTATTTTCAAAAAAGTTAATATTTTTACGAGTATTATCCGTGTCATTATGCATTGTTGAATGCCAATGTTTCGTGAATATTGCAGTTCACTTTATTAAAGCAAGGAGCAGTCTGGTCAGTAATTAATTTTAATTTTTCTACATCTGCCATTATTTGTTTTTAATTTCGAAAATGAAATTTCCAGAATAGATTTTCATTTAGAAGCTGATCTATAAGGGAACAATATATGGCTTCTATACAATTGTATGATCTATATTTACATCATGCTTTTTAATCAAAATTATATAGATAGATATAGATATAGATAGATATAGATAGATATAGATAGATTAATAATAAAGATTGGCTGAATTGTTTCAATTTCTCCTCTTTCATCTGTTTAATTTCTAATATAATCTAATAATAAATATATGATCAAATATTGGACAATTTTTGAATCTCTTGAATAAAATGAATTGTGATAATAAATACATATTCCATTTGTACAGCTTAACATCTCTATCTAATCGGTAAGAATCATATGTCGTTTTATGACCGGCTCGCATTTTTTCTTTGTGGTATCAGATTTACTCTTTTCATATAGTTCGTTACTCCTACAGATGGATATGTTTGTATTAATCATATATTCATTATACTCATCATATTTAAATCTACTAAACTGTTTACTAATATAATCTATCAATGTTTATTATTTAATTCTTAAATATTTAACAATAATTAAACAATTTTATTTTTAAGTCAATTACGTCTTTTTATTTGATTATATTTTTGCTTCTTTTTTTCTGTAATCAAATATTGCAAAATTTTTATTCGTTAAAAAATATATCTTGATAAAGAAAACTTTCAATTTTTTTACAATTTTATTAAAATAATACAATAAACAATTGTTATATAATATTTAGATTCAATTTATAAAGACTTCAATTACAAAAAGTTTGAGAAAGATGTGTTCTGATATCTATTTTTGAGAAATTGTAATAAAATCGCAGAAAATGTAATTTTTAGAGCAATACGTTTAAAGTCATGTAAGTTTTCAACATAACAAAATATATTTACTCAACTCAAAATTATTCTGAATCTTAGAAATCTGATGATGTCGAAAAATTTTTCATTAAGAGACATTATTAAGACATTATTATATATTAAATATATCTATTATCGATATACAAATCAAATTTTATCTAGATAAATTCTCTGACTGCTTTCTGCGAAGCGTGTTTAATTTAATGTTTTACATATAGCGATGTTTCCTTCACCGGATTCGATATTTACATTGTATACATTACATTTAATACATTTAATTATATTATTCATCATCTTTCATTGGATTTTATTCTCTTTAAATACATAGTTGTCTACACGAATTGTATTTACAGTTTTCTTTGAGACTACTGTACTTGGTTCAGGTATACTTATAAAAGTTGCGAAGAAAAATCACTCATAAAAAAATTACTATTCAACAATCGCTAAAAATCTAACATATCTGCAGTCAATGATCGCGTTTGCGACACACTGCCAATCCTGAAAATCTATAGTATACGTAACATGAACTATAGATTTTTAATACTGTGGTAGTGTGTATCGACTAATGTACTACGTAGATATAGTAAATTTTATCTTTACGGGAAGCACGAAGAAAAATACAAAAATTTTACCGTGACTCTCTTTCTTTTTTTTAACTATCTTATTAATTGCAATTTTTAATATTTTTTTAATCCAACAGCAAATTACTCTATTGGAAATCATTAAAATCTAAAAGTCAATTTTTTCGTTATTTAAAGATTACTTTTTCTTTAAATAATCTGTAAACTTATCTAAAATTTTGCTTTACGAAATTATCTTCAATTTTTCTGTAACACATTTGTAAAACAGATTTTATTTACTTTATTCACAAATCGTAGTTTCTTCATTATTTATAAACCATTGTTGTATAGATACTTATTGTTATTTTAATTTTATGTTGATAAAACTAATAGTACTAATTTTGCAGATAACCAGTATGCAGCTTCGTACTTAAAAACTGGTTCTATGCGCGGTGTCATGTACCAGATGAGAATGTTGACTTGGGCCTCGTGGAGATTGACGTGTCAGAAGGATGCAAATATCCGCAATTGGTGGTTGGCCGCAGAGGTGCGCGACGCGCGCGGATTTCATGATCTCGTCTTGAAATACTCCACTAACAGCGCACCAAAGGAAGACGGAAGCACCTCTGATGGAGAAAAATATATGTATCGTTTTATGCAAATCAAGCACAAAACGTCTTTGCAGAAAAACGCTACTATCACTGATTATCATTTGGTATCCAAGCATAAGCTACATCGACAGAGCAGTCTGTTCTATCTGTTCAGGGCCTACTTGAATTTGCTAGGCAATTATGAAAAAATCACACCCGAACAAATCGTGGACTTGATGATCTTCACGAACATGAACATTAAGCCGTTTAAGTTTCTAGTGCCAGTGGAGAATGACCCACTTTTTGGCTTCAAAGGAAAGGGCAAACGTTATCGTCTCGACATAAACGCATTACGGAAGGAGCCGGGAATAATGATAGCTATGTACAACATTAATCAGGACGAAAAAATCATAGTTGGCTTCCTGAAGAAATTGGTATTTGTCGTATGCCAGCCTTCCGAACCAGAATTAGAAGAATTGATTGTCGAGGATATGGGTCAGACTTTCAACAATCCGGAAATTTTCTACGATAATCTATATAAGAATATAATCAATTGGTTCCTTGTTTACAAGGATGGCAGGGCTCCATATCTTACTGAAAACCACGTAATGGAATATTTGAAAAAGACGCAGGATACATTGTGGGAGGCAAAGAAATCGGAAATGCTTGTCGATCCAGTTTCAAAATTGTCGGAAAAATTAATATCTTTACATCTATCAAATGTCACTATTCTTTAAAACTTTTATCTTTATAAAGAAATATTTAAAAAAAATTTTATTTTTGTTTTTAAATTTAAAGTTAGTGAATTTTATTTTTTTGAGATAAGGTGCTTTTTACTTCTCTTTATTTTTATTTCTCTTAAGAAAGCGGATTAAATAAATTTTTTAAAGTCTTTTTGTGCATTGCACTTTGCATGATATATGAGTGTGATTCAAGTTTTAAGTTTTATACTAGGATTATTTAGTATAATGATACATAAAACTTATGTAATATTTATTTCTTTTTGTGTAATATCAGATCTAAAGTTTTAGAAAAAAAAGCAATACAAGAAATTTGATCGATTCATTAGTTTATTCGAATTTTAAAGTAAATCTTTTATGAAGTACACGTATACATTACCAATATATGTACAGTAAAATAGTAAATCAGTAATAAATCTCCATTAAATGTTTATTGTTATCTGTTCAATTACATATTGATTTACTATTTCAGTTTATGGCCGAATAACTATCGTTTATCATATCGTATGAAAAATAAAAGAAAAAAAGTGTTCGAGTATTAAAATATTTTAAGAACTATAAAATATATTAGTACATAAGATCATAAATATGTTAATTTTTTTTTAAATATATTTTTTAGCAATTTAATATAAATCTTTTAAAATTTAAATGACTAAATCAAATTATAAAAAATTTATTTCAAATATTTCTATGCCAAATTTAAAAAAGATTTTTTTATAGATTAAGAAGTTTAATGAGAGAATTATTTAATAATGAAGTGTGAAATGAATAATGAAGCAAAGGGAAATAAAAGATGAACATATATTGAATCCATTGCATATCATTTATTATTTCTGATTTAAATTAGAGAACTTATTCATGTACAGGTGCACTACAATGATTATTTGATATCTTAATCTTCGCGAAAGTCGGGAGAGAAAATGGTCACTGAAAAGATTCAAAACGGACTCGTTCGCTTCGATAAGTCTAACTCCTTCGTTCGCCTACACATACATATGCGCAAGTACATAAGCCTTAATTAATTAATTAATTGTGTCCATACGTGGTGCGTCTATCGCAGGATATTGTAGATTCAGCCCGTTTGCTAAAAAAAAAAAAACCAAGTCTTGTCTTTACAGAATGCAACGTGCATCACAGAGTGCAACGTTCGTAAAAAGATTTTTTTTTTTTTTTAGGATAGGGGCTAACATCATGCGACAGAAGCATCGCCAAAAAATATCCCAGAATAAGATCGGGAACGATGTCGCTGGACGTTATTCTCAATCTCGATCTCGATCTTGGCTAAAACGTATTACAGCCATGTATAGTCGTCTCCGTTATAAAATAATAAATATCGTATATTTCTACGCATATGTGGAGATAGGAGGAGGGAGGGAGAGATCGGATTGAGGAAAGAATGTGATGTAAGTAGAGACAGTACGAGACTGCGTAAAAGCCACATACGAGCAACGAGATGGGGTGAAGGACGGGGTAACGGGGTAATAGGAAATACAAATTGTTTCCCTTTGGCCTAAGTTTCTGCCATCTAACCTTCATCTCACGCTCTAATCTAATCTAATCTAAATATCTATCCTACGTCAATAGTCAAGTTAATCATTTGGTATAATTGCATCCGCGAAAGATAAACGAAACTATCTATATACACTAAAATCCGTAACGCGACGAGACATAACAATCTAATTGATTGGTAGTGATGAACTTCTTCGCAATATTCGCCCCGCGCATTTTCACGTATATTTGTTTACACGTGTCACGTGTGAAGATTGCATCTCGTCTCGCTCCCATCGAGAAGAATCGAAAAGGAAAAACGACCGATGCAATTGATATACACGGACACGATTACTTGTAATTCACGATCCTTGAACGAGCGAATTTCCTTTCCTACTGATACGCACAAGAATACACTCGGGAATACCCTCCGGGATTTCCCACGATTTTGCAAAATCGTAATCTGAAACATTTGGAATATCCACATCCGAGATACGACATTCGCTGAGCGTGTTCGTCAAAACGCGACGCGCAACGACGGTTATGCAATGACTATTAGCTACTAGTTACAGTCACACCCTATATAGTTTCTCACTCTTGTAGAAATACATGACTAACAATAAATAAGATCCTAGTGCATATGGCTAACTTAGAATAATTCATTGCGTAAAATGAATTCATCTTTGGATTTAAATGCAGAACATCCGTCTTCCGCATCGCGGAAGGAAGAATATTCGTAGATTCGGCGCTCTCTCTCTCTCTCTCTCTTTTATACGTCGCTCTCTCTCTCTCTCTCTCTCTCTCTCTCTCTCTCTCTCTCTCTCTCTCTCTCTCACACAGGAACCTGGATTTCTTCATTTCTTTGCTGTCTTTTTCCTTTTTCTTTACTTTAATATCCCGCAACAATTGCGCTCTGAGATTGTTGGAGGATTTGCAATCGCGTGTTGCGAGCTACGTCTAATACTGCGTGAACGGAATACAAACAACATATATGTTATTATCTCTTGACTCCCCTAATGCACATTTCATTGACATTACTAATAATAAGATATTTAATAATTATCTTTAACGCGCTCGCGAAATCATGATGCATCCGCGAATAATATATAATCACATCAAAATCTTAATTATACTGAAATTGTTACAATCTCCAGAGATATATATGTACACATGTAATGCAAAGGCATATGGGGGGGGGGGGGTTACGAAGTATGTGTTTCTCATAACGAAGACTTGAGGCGTTACGAAGGAATTTGTCAGAAGCGTAAATGATTTGGATGCGTTGCGATAAGAGAGGAAGATGCACCATGTTATGTTTTAAACGACGGTTAAACTGAATAGAATATGCAGCGCGAGTACTTTCCAATGAGGAAATACTCCATAAAGGAAATGTCATAATAGCAAATAATATACTTTGCTGTGGTTCATGATGAATAGTTATATAAAAAAAAATAGGTGTATCGGAAATGAATCGAAAGGAATTTATTGAAAAACTGAACTCACAATTTTCAGAGATTGATTTTAAAAAACGGATACTTGTTCCTTTATACTCTTATGGAATTGGAGTTGTTATTACAGTGTAGTTGTCATACAAGATTAAGATTGCAAAAAGTAAAACATGATTAAGCAATACTAATTTAAGATAATAAAAAATAAATCGCGTGAGATAAATTCCTATCAATCCATTCATTTCACCATTTCGCGACGTAGATACATTTGACACCACTTCTTGGTGTTCTCGATATGAATCATAAAATTCCACACGGTAGGCAACGTACAATGATATCCTGGATACTGCTCTCGTCTGATTACATGAGAAGAACTCCGAAAATACTACGGTGTTTTTATACGAACACGTGCGATAAATTGATATAGAATATAAGGCACGATCGTGAACCTTAGACGGAGAATCGAAGAATCCGATAATTAATTTAAAGGTATATCTTCTGTACTCGCGAATCATCGGAGAAAATGGTGTGCGATCAAACGACGACACCTCCGACCATCTGACCATTTTACAAATAACACACTACCGCAAGCAAACATCACAATTTTTTTTTTTTGTCTATTTTTAGTCTGCCGATATTAAAAGTAATTGGATTAATATTAATAGTTTTAACTAAATCTCCCATATTTAACATCGCAAAAAAACATTAGTTTCCTAATTTGATTTACGTTTATTCGCGCGATTCATGTGATCTGATCGCATCCCGCTTGTCTCCGTCTCTCTCCTACGCAATCGACGGCCTAATCACTCGCTGTCCTTGACACCCAACAACTTCGCCGCATCATCGGCCGTGCCTAGAAGTACCTTATCGAGGAAACCTTTCTCGCGTATTCCCAGTAGATTGGAGATCAAGTCGTTGTCACCGCTCTCGCTGGGTATCTCCGCGGGGGGAGGCGGGGAAGGCAGGGCGGCGGATGCGGCGCCCTGGGGACCATCGTTCGCCATTCTACCGGTGAGCGTGGCCATGTTATCGTAGTGATTGTATCGCATCAGGGCACAGGGTGCCGCGTCCGCCGTCGCAACCGCCGCGACGGTCGGCAGGGAGATTCTATCCTGGGTGCGGGGTCTACTGGTATTGGTGGAGATCGGCGAGTGCTGCTGACTTCTGGGGGTTATCGTCGGCGGTTGTGCGGGCGAGTTCTCCTCGTCGCCGCTATTGCCTATGTACATGGCGGACTCCACCGATTCGTGCTTCTTACGGTGGCGCAGCATGCTGTGCTTCAACGTGAACTTCCTGGTGCAGATATCGCACTCGAAGGGCCTCTCGCCTGTATGGGTCCTCATGTGACGCCGAAGATCTTCCGCGGACCAAAATCGTCTCATGCAAAAAGCGCACACAACCTTGGAAGAAAAGATAAAGAGATGTTACTCTCTCGTTGCATTACAATTAGGTGTACACTAACTAATGATAATGAAAGTGACCAACAACACACAAATTCGATACTTTTTTTTTTTCCATTCTTGTCGTCATACATGTGATTTTTTTTTTTAGAGACTTGTTTAGAATTAGTTCTCTTATACCTTATTACCTTTCTGTTGCTGTAGTCGGGAAAACGGCCTTTCTTTTCTTCACCGTCGCTAGGATGCTGCTGCGACGCTAACATTTGATCTTCTGTCGCATCTACATTCATAGACGCCATTTCGAGGGCGCCCTTGGCCTTTAGCATCTCGTACGAGCGCTTGTGATTTATCTTGATGTGATCCAAGCAGTCCTGGCGTTCCGAGAAACCGCTGTCGCACAGATAACACTTGAAGGGTACGTCACCGGGACTCGGCGATAATCTTGGTGACTTGCGCGATCTGGTGGTGTCGTTTATCGAAGGAGATGCGTTGCAACTCGGCTTCGTGGCCGCGACGGTGGATGACGAGTTCTCCAAATTGTCGGACATGCTCGACGAATGGCTTTCGTAATCGCTCTGATCGTTCTGCGCGGCGCACCGCGGTGGACTGTTCTGCTGATCGCTGGACTCCGATCTAGACGTGGTCTTGCGGTGCTTGCTCGATCGGTGTTTCTTCAGATTGCCCAACGTGGCGAATGTCGAGCTCGGGCATTGATGGCATTTAAACGGCCTCTCGGGCACGTTCCTCATGGAAAACGTATTGCTGCCGTTGCTACTGCTGCTGCTGGCGACCACCTGGACGTCTGGCGAGGACGAGTTCCTGGCACGGCGCATCTTGTTCGCCTTTGCCTTGTGTTTCCTTAACAGATGGCGATCGCAGTTGGACTTGGTGGTAAAGTGATGCGAGCAGTGCATGCACTGATATGGCTTCTGGCCCGTGTGGGTGAGGATGTGTCGTCTCAGTGACGAGCTCCACGGGAACTGGCGTTCGCAGTATGGGCATGTGACACGATTCGGCGCCATCGAGTACGCGGACTTCTTTTTCTTCTTCTTCTTTTTGTTCGGCGAGGAATCGTTCCCGGAATTCAAGGAATTCATGGAGTCGGACTTCTCGCTACCGGAATTGTTGCCGCTGGTCGAGGCAACGGGACCCTCCTCATCACTCAAGTATTGCGGCTGAAATTGCTGATATTGCTGGGACGCGTTGTCCAAGAGTTTCGAGACACTCGCGAGATCGGGCGTTCCGTCTTCTAGTTTGCTCTGCTCTCGCTCGGTAGATTCAGTTTTGATCGTTTCTTCAGCGTGTACCGACTTACCTTCAGCAACTGTGGATTCTTCCGGATTATCGCCGTTACTTCGTGCAGTTTGTTCGCCGTGTATCTCCTTCGAGGCCTCCTCCGCGGACTCGACTGCTTCCGTTTTCACGACGACATCCTTGACACCCTCGCTATTCTCCAGCTGATCTCGCAGCAAGCTCGTGCTAGGTTCGCGTTGAGCTTGCGACTCCTGAGAATCCCGATCGGCCGACTCTTCGTCTATCACCATCTCATCGTCCGTATCATTGTCGTCCATTTTATTCGCCTTCAGTTGTTGCGCCAGGATCGCGTATTTCACTTGATCCGAGATGGAATGCGTGCCATATTCCGTCGATGTCACCGGCGTATCGACGGCCTTCGGCAGAATGCCCGAATACGGTTGAGCTACCTGCGAGGTCGACGGGCCAGGAGTCTGCACCATAGTCGGATGGCTCGCAGGTGGTCTGCCTCTGGTCGAATGTCCACCGCGGGGTCTTTGGCTCCAATACTGCGGATGCTGCTGCTTGATGTGCCGTTCCATATTGCTTCTCAGCGTGAACCTCGCCGTGCAGTGCTCGCAAGTGAAAGGCCTCTCGGTCCGATATCTGCGCTGCTTCTGCTTGGGGATCAGCACTCCATTCTTGAGTACCATTTTCACGGGATCGTTCGACGAGATATTATCCGTTTTCTCGCGGCTCGTCGTGGTCTGATTAGCGCTCATCTGCGCGCTCATCAGATTCGCGTAGGCATTCTGTTCGCTCGATGTTTGCGTGGTGTCCCGCGTTTGCGAATACGCCGCGTAACTGGTGCTGGGTAACGACGGGTCCACCGAAAGGGTGCTGCCGCCGGTCAGTTGCAGACCTCTGACCAGCTCCTTCTGCAACCTGCCCTTCGTCGCCAAGTCCTGACCGAACATGTGAGGGCTTAGGAAGTATGGTGGTATCATACTGGCGCCCGTTAACGTGGCACCAAAATTGCGATACAAGGTATTCGCATAGAGAGTCTCTAACGACGTCGTCGGTGAGTTCTCGCGTGCTCTGTTCAGCAGAGCTTGGGTCAACAGTAACGCTGGATTCGTGGCGTACAATTCCTGGCTGCTCTTAAATCGCTTCTCCTCCGGCAAGCCAGAATCGTCATTGTCCCTCTTTCGTTTCCTGCTCAGATCCAACACATCCATGGACAGATCCAACGGACCGTCCTCCCCCGAGCTTAATCCGGAGCTCGTCGAGAGCTTCGACAGGTTCATCGGACTAGCTTGAATTCTTTGGTGTGTATCCGTTTTGGTATCATTGACTAGAGACACGCTGCCGTCCGACGATCCCAACTCAATGTCGTCGTCAATCTTGGAATAATTAGATTTCATGATCAGATCGTGAGATAGGTTTGCTTCGTCGGCACTTTTCTTTATGAGATTAAGAGCTTGTATCTTCGTCGGTCTGGGGAACACGTCTGTTTTCTCGTAGCGATTTATCAGTATCTCGGCGCGGACATTCGATGGTCCAGGATCCATCGTCACAGGATAATGTATCTGTTGTTGTTGGGAAGACTCCTCGCGTTCATTCGGATAAACGAGCGTCTTCCGCACATCTTCCCTGACGATCCTGGGCGAACTCCTCTCGATATTGTCGTTGGTCGAATCCTCGTTTGGATGATAGATCAGCGCGTTCTTGACGTCCTCCTTACTGATCATCCCGTGACGATTTTTCACGTGCCTCTCGCAATTCGCTTTGGTGGTGAACGCATAATTGCAGAGGGAGCACTCGAACGGCCGATCGCCGTTGTGCGATCTCAAATGTTTCATCAAAGCTCCCTTGTCGGTGCTGGTGTACGGGCACATATTGCACGGATACGGCATACCCGGTTCCACGTTCATGTGTGCGCGATTGTGCCCCTTCAGCGCTCGTAGATTGGGAAATACGGATCTGCATAACCTACACGGAAATTCACCCTTCAGTTTCATCTTCCGGAATTCCGCGGTAAAGGCATCCTGCGCTTCCTCCTCGTTGTACTCGGACGAGCAAGTGCCCGAGGAGCCTGAAGAACCAATGTTCGGATTGAACTTGATGTTATTCTCGGGAGTGCTGGCATCCGACCGAGGAAAGGTTTGTAACCCGTTTAAACTGACGGACAGGATACTCGGGATATCCGCTAAATCTTTGGTCTCTTTCGCTAGGTCTCCGGTCTCGCTCGGTTCCCGCGGCTCCTTCGTCTCATGCGTCGAGGACTTGTTCTGCAGATCTAACACGGCGAAGAACATCTCGCGCTTCGTCTTGGGATCCTCGGACTGCGGAGTCGGATCGTCTAGCTCCGCTTCGAGATTGTTATTCGTACTGATATCGTTATTGTTATTGTTGTCGTTGCTGTTTCTTTTGTTCTTGTAGGGGCCCTTGCATTCCTTCTCGTGGGCCAGCTGGGCTTGCCTGCACGGAAACGCGTGCAGACACTTCATGCACTGGAACCTGTTGACCTCACCGGAGGCTGGCCGGTGCAGCTCACGTTCGCACATCGCCCGAGCGATTGTCGGGAACTTGATGGATGAGAAGTCGATGAATGTTAAATCTTTGAAACCGTCCACGGTGTTGCGCAGGCTACGGCTGTTGTTGCCCTCCGAGTTCTTTTTGTAGTGTTTCATCGTACGATGGAGGTTCAGCACACGATAATTTTTGAATGACTCGTTGCACGTCTCACATGTGACCAGGGAGCCCGGATGCACGCGTTCCATATGCGATTGGAGAAGCGCGCTACTCGCAAAATCCTGACTGCAAACCGGACAATCGAAGGCTTTCTGCTCCTCTTCCGGCCGGTACTTGATCGGCATTCTGTTGTTCAAGAGAATCTTATGTCTCCTTTGATCTTCTACGTCGCTGACGTCCTCCTCCGGGCACTTCCGTTTATTCGCGCGGTTGTTGCTGGGCGATGGTTGTTCCTGATCGTCGATCAGATCCGACGAATTTCGCCTGGCTATTTCGTTGTTGTTGTTGTACTCATCCTGGCTGGTAGCCGCTGGTCTCTCCGAGCCGCTACTGCCCTCGGAGTCCGTGCAACTGTTCGGTGACACCATCCGATGGGTACACTTCACGTGTCGATTCATGTTGCCGTTCGTCGTGAACGACATATCGCAATACTTGCACTTGAACGGCCGCTCGCCCGAGTGCACCAGCACGTGCCGGTCCAGCGAGCTCGCTGAGCTAAGCACCTTATTGCATACGCCACAGCTGTAATCCTCCTCGCCGCTACAGTCTGTGCTACGAGGTGAGTTGTGGCCGCGCAGATGATTCGTCAATTCGTGGGAATTGGAAAACACCGACGGGCACGTCGGGCACGGATGCGCGCCGTTCTCCGACAGCTCAACCTATATTGTCGGAAAAAGAATGTGTGATATTAAGAATACGCATATTGTATCGCTACATAAAGCAATTTTATTGATAACAGCCCGAAAAATATTTTTAT